GTCAATGTGACCATCCAGCCCCCTGCCGTTGCCTACTCCTGATGTAGAGTCTAGTATTAGAAACAGTCCTGTTTGAGAAGGGGTAGCTCAGATCTCTATCATCTTATTTTTGTATCTGTTTTGGAAGAATTGCCAATTATAGTTGGTCAACCTATTTTGCAGCAAAAAATTCATATGCAACTTCCAAAATACCGTAAATGAAGACACAATCCTGAAAAATCTACTGAGACAGTAGCTCTTTATAAAGGAATGCCTATTTTCACGCCAGTGTCTACATCAGAATATAACGTACCTGGCTACACTTCATCAAACATTGCAAATGAGTTCAGCCACAATGCCTTCCTCAAACTGTCATATCCACATTCAGCAGACATAAGGCAGCTGATGACTCTTTCAGTCTGATGAGGCATAGATAATTCTCAGGAGCAAACAACCCAAAACAGTTCTGCTATCATTTGCAAAGCATCATAGGAAAACATATGCAAATCTCCATGTAAATTAGTCTTGCAAACCTAACAGCAGGATGTAAACCCTTTTGGCTGCCATATCTGCATACGTTTTCCCCGCATTGCTTTGTACCTATACTCAACATTACATTGCGATACCATATTGCCAATGGGAAAGGGTTTTGGGGTAACTGCTTGCAGACCAAGAAAGAGATGTCAAGCTAGAGAAGTGGAAATGGGGTGGCAAGGGGGTGGAACAACCATCACCCATTCCCACCAAGTAGGGAGGAGAGGAGAGAATAGAAGCCACCTTATTAGAGATGGAAAAGAATTAGGTGATGGTTATCTTTGCATTGGGGTAAAAGAAGAAAGATGGAGAGACCCTGGGTTTTTAATCAACCAGAGTTAGCAAAGTTATCCAGTGCTTATAGGATTTTATGCCTTTTCAGTTTCATCAGCCCTGAACCTTGGGGATGGAGCTAGCTATAAATTTGAAACAAAAAGAAAGTAAAACACATTGCTTTCCATTACCTATAAAATAAGTGGCTTCTAATTATGAAGTGTGTCAATAGCTATAGAGTCTGTTAGAAAGTTTGCATACCTGTAATGAAATAACTGAGCTCAGCATTGAGACCCACATCAGCGTCGGTGCAATTCAGGCGAACCACTTTAAAATCACGAGGTATATTTTCAGGGAGCGACACATTGTAGATGACTGGGAAAAAGGTGGGGTTCTCGTCATTCACATCTAAAACTACAAGAGAGAATTTGATCAAGGCTGACTCTGGGCTATGCTCCCAGGCTTTACCAGACATTCTTAAAAGATTCAGTTTGGCACCACTGCTAGTTTTAGATGTTCAGTTGCAACCTCTGGACTGCCATAGGGCTTTGAATAGGAAACAGAACTTTTTCAGATTGGTTGTCTTGTAAATAAAGCCCAGTTCAGAAAAGCAGTGGAAAAGATACATGAGTGGGGAATACAAGTAAGTTGTCAAAAGGGTTGGAAAACGAAAGGGAATTTCTGCGAAATAATTTTCTCTTTTCCCTTTCCTAATGTATAACTATATCTTATTCTTGTGCATTTGAAGCTAAAAGAAACCCCTTCAACTAGCACATGGCAGAAATATGAAACAACAAAACAGACTCTCTTTCCCAGATGGACAACATATTACCTTTTCTAGAACTTAAAAATGTTCTGAAATCAGGCACGGGGTGGTCTATAAGATGTAAGTAGCAGGTTGTTGCTCAAAACATAAAAGAGATCACACTGGGATGGAGCTTTAAAATAAGCACAAATAAACAATGTTTTTAAAAAGGAGGAACCTTCTTTACTGGACGCAGTATTGAGTGGAAGAACTGGGCTTATATCTACAGGACAAAAGCTCACACAAAATTAAAAACCAGTTAATTTTAAAGGTGCAGCCACATTTCCCCCTCCCCTTTCCTTACGGCTTTTTATGCTGCAAGAGACTAATACACCTACTTCTTTGGCCCAATAAATATTTTAATTGTTTTAATTGTTTTCAGAATTTTAATGTTAATGTCTTAAAAGTAGTGTTTTAATTGGATGAGAATCAGTGTGGTGTGTAGTGATTTGAGTGTTGGACTACAACTCTGGAGAACAAGGTTTGAACCCCCAGTCACCCATAGAAATGCACTGGGTAACCTTGGACAAGTCACACTCTCTCAGCCTCAGAAGAAGGCAAAGCCAACTCCCCCCAAACAAATCTTGCTGAGAAAAGGCCATAATAAATTTGCCTTAGGGTCACCATAACCTGGAAACAACTTAAAGGCACAGAAGAACAACAATATGGTTTAATGTTTTTTAAAAACTTTGTACTCCTTATTGTTTTAGATGTTCTGATTTAATTTATATTGTTAATCACCTTGAGTCCCATTTGGGATAAAGTGGGATATACACCAAACAAACATCAGGTCTAAAGCACATTTGTAATGCCTTATTAACTCAAGTGTAGTGGGGGGACATTATTTTCTTAACCCACCATAGGTGCCAACATCACAATGTTCCTGAATTTGGGTATTGTGGTGATGGGTGGGGTGGGGTGGGGCACAATTTGCCTTTATAGAAAGGCACAAATGGAACACTCAGATCGTTTTCTATCTGGTTAGCACTCAAGGAAGTCTCCAAACAGTTGAAAAATAAGAGGCATACTTCCAGTGTGACTTGTTATAAAGTTTTTTCTTCTTCATTTTTTGCTGCCGCCATTGCACTAAAATTTTGCCATGCACCCCAAACTGATAAAATACTTAGAAAGTATTAGAAAGTCTCAGCATACACAGTTGTCAGGGGCCAGTCAACTGGATTATCAGAGAAACTGACATATAAATTGAGGGCAGCAAAAGGGGGATGTCAGAAAGACAAGCTGACTGCAGTGAGGCATCTGTTCATTTTATTTGCAAACAAAGACCCATTGCTGCACAACCCATCTATACAACATGTGAAATTGGAAGAGTGACTTTTCTTCCTCCCACAGGCTTGAATTTTGCTGGACCCCCATTCTGTGCCTTCATGTGAATTAAATTTAACTTCTACAATGCCTTGCAGACTCCCATACAATGCCTTTGCTGGACGCTCATATTATGCATTCCTGTGAATTAAGTTATACCAGGGGTAGGCAACCTTTCCCCTTTAAGGGCCGAAGGACTTCAGCTCCCAGAATCCCAGGAGCTATTGGCCAACATGGAACTATTGGCTAACATGGCTGAGGCTTCTGGGAGCTGAAGTCCCTTGGCCCTTAAAGGGCAAAGGTTGCCTACCAGTGAGTTATACTTTTACAATGCCATGCAGAAGTGTTCACCCCACTCTGTTCCCTCCTTCATATTTTGTTTACAGCCTGGAACTGAACTGAATTTAATTAGCATTGTTATGATTTAATGTACATAAGATACTGAACACTGTGTAAAAACAGTAAAAAAAGTTTTACTGAGTCAAAAAATTAAGAAAATAAAACTCTCTGCATGTGAGATATGCATGTGCGTATGTGTTGAGTTCAGTACAGCTGGAAGGAGAGAAGTGAATAAGATTCAGTAACAGCCTCTGCAGACGGATGGCCATGGACCGCCCAGAGAAGCTGCAGATTGGGGCCGAGGCTACCCTATGTCTCGGTGCCAATCCACTCTTTTTCCAGCCCTGGAAGGAGCACTAAAATAGCGCTCCTTCCACAAGGTGCGGAAAGGGCGCCACAAGAGGCGGCGTGCAGCTCTTCAGCGTCTCTTCCGTGTCTGGATGCTGAGCTGAAAGGACGTCATCGGAGCACCCGTTGTGTGCTCAGGAAGGGGCTGAGGTGCCCGGCGTCTGGCTGCCCTTCTGCAAAAGGGGTTAGTAATACTAACTTGGGCCTTTATAGGCTGTCAGAAATAATGCAGCTTGAAGCCACGCTAACTGTCCTGGATCAGTGCTAAGGAATCATGGGAACTGTAGTTTATT